AGCTGTGATGCCACAGCACTCTACCCAGGGGGACAGCTTGAGGCTCTGTCTCAAAAAAAAGAGTTTGAAATTGTTGTGCGCTATGATGCCACTGCACTGTAGCCTGGGCAACAGTGAGACTCTGTCTCAAAAAAAAAAAAAATCCCCCCAAAACTTGTAAATGAAAGTTATAGCACCACTATTCACAATAGCCAAAAAGCAGATACAACTCAAATGTCTAAATGATGAAGAAATGAAATACAGCCATGCGATGAACATGAAGGAAACTTGAAAACATTTTGCTAAGTGAAAGAACCGGGATACAAAAGAGACAAACGTATATGGTACAAGTCCATTTATGCGAGGTGTCCAGGACAGGCAAATCCTAGTCAGAAAGTAGAAGAGTGGGGGTTGGGGGCTAGAGCATGGGGAGTGCCAATCGACGGGCACAGAGTTACTTTTGGGATGATGAAAGTGTTTTGGAATTGGACAGTGGCAATGGTTGCACAACTCTAAATATACTAAAAGCTATTGATTTATGCACTTTAAACGGGTGACATATCTCAATCAAACTGTTGCAAAACTGAGGAGAAAGACAGCAAAGAAAGGAAAGCCCCTGATTCAGGGGTGCGGTGGCGGTGGCCGGCTGGGGCAGGGATCAGGTGTAAATGGCTGTCAGACTCTAGTCCTTGCGCTGGGACTGTCCAAGCCGCCACCCGCAGGCCCTGGGCGTCGTGAACTGTCAGAGGAGCGTCCAGAGCTGGGACTGTGAGCCCTGTACCCGGGTGCACCTGAGGGGTAAGTGCCTGGAGACCCCAGGCGCGCCCCCGAGGGTAAGGGGGTGTGGCGCGGGCGCGCGCGGGGTCCAGAGTTGCCTGAGGCAGCTGGCGGGGAGCAGCGGGGGAGGGGAGTGGGGAAGGCGCGCGCCGCGGACGCAGCCACTGAGTGAAGGGGGTCGGCTTGCCGGCAGGGCCCCTGGGCGGCTCGTGGGGGCAGTGGCTGCGTGCTGGGTTCCCAGCCCCGGCCAGGAGTGTCTGGGTCTACGGTCCCCGTTGCTCAGGCGCCCGCCCAGTTTCTTGGGCGCCCCCGCCCGGCGCTGTGGTACGGTCCGAGCTTAAAAGGCTCTGCGGCCGCGGGCCGGCCCAGTGTGCGGACGGTGGCGCGCTCGGGGCGTGGGGTGCTGCGGTGGGGCGCGAACCCGCGGTGTGGGCTCCGGGGTGCGTCCACGTGGCCGGCGGGCGGGCGCCCGGAACCAGCGAAGGCTCAGGGTCAGGTAGGTGGGCGCCATCCTCGCTGCCTGAGAGGGGCCAGCCTGCTGCGGGGCGGGGGTTTCGGGCATCCAGGGGTCCGTTTCGGCCTTGCAGGGGTCAGATCCTTGCCCTCCGCGTCGGGCGCCGGCCAGCCTGGCCCTCGGTGCTCTGCGAGGGTAGGGACTGCCAACCCAAGCCCAGCTGCCCTGCCCAGTGGAGACCCTTTGTCGCGGAGGAGCGACCCCTCAGAGAATTGCCGCTGCACTTACATGCACTCAGGTCTCCGCCATCTGCTGAGCGTGCCACGGGCAGGGTAGGGTGAGCCGTGCCAGCAGCACAGAGGGAGGCATTGGGGAGCGCTGGATCCGAGTCTCTGAGTGAGGCTGTCCCCTTGCTGGAGCTCTCTCCTGGCAGGACCGTGTGGCAGAGGGGTGGAAATATCTGTGACGCCCGAGGTTGCCACTTACAAGTGGGGGCTTGGGTGAGGTCTTGGGCTGCAAATCCTGCCTCTCCAGGTCTCCTTGCTGACCTGTCCCCACCCTGTCTCTAAGCCTGTCTTCCTGCGAGCAGGGGGAGGAAGGGCAGGATATTGCCTCTCTTCTCTTTTGCCTTCCTTTCTTCTCATTTGCCTTCCTTTCTTCTCATTGTGGCATAAGAGGTCCAGGATGAAGACCTGACAAAAGAGGAGAGATGATCAATTCAAGCTGAAACTTTGCAGTTTCAAGCCGGGCCTGCACCTGTTCTAGGGAATGTACCTATTCCTTTCTCTCATCTGTGGCTCCTTGATTTGGTTCCTCTGCATCCCTAGGTTGGGTCCTCCTGTTTCCCTTACGACCGGGCATGGAGAGGTGCTGAGCCCTGCCCTGTTGGCTGCCACGACACTGCTCTGCTGTTTTTGCAGCCTGGGTTTGGCTGGGTGTGGCCTCGGGACTAAGTACCAGAGTCAACACTGTCCATATGGCCCCAGCCTCATCTCCCCAAGGCCTCAACTGTATTTGGGATGTTGCTGCTCTTCCATAAGGCTCCTGGGACTCCTGAGGGTGGGCTGGGCCCCCAGTGCACTGCACCCTCCTCAGCTAATGTCTGGAGCCACGTGGGGCTGTCGGGCACTGTCTGGCTTTGCCTGAGCAGAGCTTGACTATTTCTGTGTGTGGCTGTGGGGGCAGACGACTCTGCTTTGTGTTGCAGGCCCTTGGGGCAAGGAGGCAGCTGGGCCCCTGTAGGGGAGGTGGTAGTACTGGGTCTAGTTTCAGGCCTTGATGCCCCAGACCTCTGTCCTGGATGACAGTGCCTCTCTGGGCTGGTATCCCTGCCCCCATTTCCCTCCCCCAGTTGTGCTTATTTTCTCCCTGCCCAACCCCCTTCTCTTAGCTCAGGCAAGGGGCATCTCTGTGGCCCGATGCTTTCTTGCAATTGCTCTTCTGTGCAGCTGGTATCCTCAGCTCTGGGATGTGTCACTTGCTCGAGGTCTCATTTCCAGGAGGGTCTCCTGCCCTGCCTTTCTGAGCATCTGGCTGTGCTGCCCCCTTGGGTGTGGCCCAGCTGAGATGAGGCCTCCTGGCTCCTCTCCAGTGTGGGGGATGAGAGGTGACTGATGTGCCCTATGGAGGCCCCTCCTCTCTCCCAGCCGCAGTCACCTCTGGGGCTCTGGTGTGGCAGTGGGTGAGTGGCCTGGCCTTCTGTGGCATGGAGCTCAGCCTGCTGGGGGCCCTGGGCCAGACAGCACAGGTGGAGGATAGGCGGCCTGGGCCTGAGGCCTCTGACTTCCACTTGCTGTGTCTCTCAGGCCTGTCCCCAGGTGCAGCTGCCGGCCATGCCTGCTGTCTGCCTCCTCCAGCTGCTCCTCCTCACTGTGGGCGGGGCCCTGGGCAACAGCAGGCCCTTCCGTGCCTTCATGGTGACAGACACCACGCTTACGCACCTGGCTGTGCACCGGGTAACTGGAGAGGTGTTTGTGGGTGCAGTGAACCGAGTCTTCAAGCTGGCCCCCAATCTGACTGAGCTGCGGGCCCATGTCACAGGGCCTGTTGAGGATAATTCTCGCTGCTACCCACCTCCCAGCATGCGTGCATGTGCCCACCACCTGGCACCTGTGGATAATGTGAACAAACTGCTGCTCATAGACTATGCGGCCCACCGCCTGGTCGCCTGTGGCAGCACGTGGCAGGGCATCTGCCAGTTCCTGCGCCTGGATGACCTCTTCAAGCTCGGTGAGCCACACCACCGGAAGGAGCACTACCTGTCAGGGGCCCAGGAGCCTGACTCCATGGCTGGTGTCATCGTGGAGCAGGGCCAGGGGCCCAGCAAGCTGTTTGTGGGCACCGCTGTTGATGGCAAATCAGAGTACTTCCCCACCCTGAGCTCCCGCAAGCTGATCAGCGATGAAGACAGCGCGGACATGTTTAGCTTGGTGGGTGAGCCTTGCCCACCTGCTCCCTCCTTCACATGGTCCTGGCTCTGCCTCATGGAAGATTGCTGGTCTGACAGGGACAGTCTTGGCTCTTCATTGCCTGAGGTGCTGCAGACAGTACTGTAGCTGAGGGTGGGAAGATGGGCTGAGCCCAAGCTATGTGGTCCTGTCTTCAGGGAGGCTGGTCACCTTGCCCTCTGCAGCCTTTCCAGAATGGGCTCCAACAGTCATCTGGGCAGGGATGGGGAAGCCACTAGTGGACTGTGGTGGGGTATGGGTGAAGCTGGGGTGGGGGTGGCTCAGGGCCTCATCCTGTCCTCTTGCCTTGACCTCCCCAGGTGTACCAGGATGAGTTTGTTTCTTCTCAGATCAAGATCCCCTCAGACACACTGTCCTTATACCCTGCCTTTGACATCTATTATGTTTACGGCTTCGTGAGTGCCTCCTTCGTTTATTTCCTGACGCTGCAGCTGGACACCCAGCAGACACTGCTGGACACAGCAGGCGAAAAATTCTTCACCTCCAAAATTGTGCGCATGTGCGCAGGGGACTCAGAGTTCTATTCCTACGTGGAGTTCCCCATTGGCTGCTCCTGGCATGGTGTGGAGTACCGCCTGGTGCAGAGCGCCCACCTAGCCAAGCCCGGCCTACTGTTGGCCCAGGCCCTGGGTGTGCCGGCCGACGAAGACATCCTCTTCACCATCTTCTCTCAGGGGCAGAAGAACCGAGCCAGCCCTCCCAGGCAGACTGTCCTCTGCCTCTTTACCCTCAGTAACATCAATGCCCACATCCGGCATCGCATCCAGTCCTGCTACCGGGGAGAGGGCACGCTGGCCCTGCCTTGGCTGCTGAACAAGGAGCTGCCCTGCATCAATACCGTGAGCCCCCACTCACCTCACCTGTCCGCAGGCCAGTGTCCGGCCTAGGCTGACACTTGGCTTGGCATGGCCCTGAGAATGGCCCCATGCCCTGACCCCCATTTCTCCCGTTTGGGGATGCCTGCCCCTTTTGTTCCTCTCTCAGCCCTGTCTTCTCTGCCCTTCCCAGGGCTTTGTGCAGACTGCTACCTTCCTCCCCCTGCCCTTGTCCATTCCCAGCACATTCCTCCATTTCTCCCATTTCACCTCCCTCTTCAGGCTCCAATTTCTGGCAGGGTCCCGGGGCAGGTAGTCAGATAGGGACAGAGGGGAGTGAGTTCCAAATCCTGTTCTTTTCTGCGATTGGGATCTGATGGCTCTTGGCCAGTGTTGTGTGCTTGCACCCAGAGGTCTGAGTGTTACACACATCCCTTCTGTTTCTCCAGCCCATGCAGATCAATGGAAACTTCTGTGGCCTGGTGTTGAACCAGCCCCTGGGTGGCCTACATGTGATCGAAGGGCTGCCCCTGCTGGCCGACAACACCGATGGTATGGCCAGTGTGGCTGCCTACACCTACCACCAGCACTCTGTGGTGTTCATTGGCACACGCAGTGGAAGTCTGAAGAAGGTGGGCATGAGGCTAGTCTCTGGGATATGTGACAAGGGATAGCAGTGGGAATACATGGATGAGTCCTGAGACACTGTAGACAGGGCACAGCTGGTAGGGGGAGACTTCCCAGGCTGGGCCCCAGGAGCCCCTCAGCCACCTACCCTCACCAGCACCAGTGCTTCCTGTGGCTCTGGGGACAGAGGCCAGACTTATTGTGCAGTCTCTGCCACAAGAGCTGGGGCTGGGGCTGGGGCTGAGCTGTCATTGTTGGATCCTCAGTTGAATAAATGAGGGAGCTGATGTTACCGTAACTCAGTGCTCTCTGCCTGGGTGCATCCCATGCCCCATGAGCCTCCCCATCCCTGCTGCCCACGTACTCTCTTTCTGGCTAACTCCTTTCTATCTCACTCTAAAGCCCGAAGAGGGCCCTGTCCCTGATGGCCTTTCCCTTTGGCCTCTGGTCCCCTTGTGGGCACTGGGGTGGCAGTGCTGGTTAGGCCACCCTAACCAGCTCACCCATAGGAAACAGGGCAGGGCTGTAGCTGCTTCCATTCTGGGGCTGTGGGCGAACTCACAGGCACTCAGACACGTTCTTTTTTTTTTTTTTTTTA